CACACACACAGAGGCTCGCAGAAAGAGTTAGAAAGAACAGACCACACCAGAGCGCCCGCTAACCGCTCTGTACAACATTAATAGTAGCTAGTTAGCCTATTGCCCTTTTGCTCACTTTCCAATTATGCCCCACCTTGTCTGCAACCCACGCGACGCCACTGCCAACTGGTAATCGGAGAACTGTCGCACAGCCTTTGCACAAATTCGACAACAGCACATCTTGTTGAATCCCTCTCAGTCTGAGTTGGTCCTGCCTGACAGGCAGGGTCAGAAGCTTATTTATAACCTAGAGTTGCAAGTGCCGTAAAACGCTTTTACCCCCCCCCCCCCTCCCCCACCCTGAAGTCTTACATAGCTTTTGCACGGAACGCAACTGCAGTAACAAAATTAATAACTCTTCCGAACCACTTTTGAGAATAGTTTTGAGCGCGAGCGAGCAATAATGATGACGAGGGAAAGATACAGACGATATTACGTTACATCTTTACTTGAGAAAGAAAGAGATAACAGGCTCTCCTGTCGTCTGTCCTCGCGGCCAACGTTCGTTTCTGCTCTTTTTGCAGTTTTGTTTTGTACATGTTTTGTGTTTTACCCTAGTTCCGACGCCAAGAGAGAGAGAGAGAGAGAGAGAGAGAGAGAGAGAGAGAGAGAGAGAGACAGAGAGAGAGAGAGACAGACAGACAGACAGAGGGGAGGGGGGGACGGAGGATGGTGGTGGAAAAAGAAAGGGTTTATAGACATGAAAATCAACTACAGAAAGTGGAATAAAAAACCCAACAAACCCACAGTCAGAGCCAAGACGGGTGATTAGTCGACTGAGTACCAAAACGACAGATAAACCTAGAGATGATTAGGCGGACAGACCCAAGGGTACAAAAGAAATCAGACAATAATAAAAATCAGTGCTTCATCATCGCCCGGTGCCTTACCGACTGGCGTGAGCGATCATGGACCTCCACTTCACTCTGTCTAGCGTTGCAGCGATGGTGTCTGTCGTTCTTGCTGTTCCCAGCCATGTTGTCAACTTGTCCAGTATCTTTTCCCTCTGTCTGCCTTTGTCTCTCTTTCCATCAAACTTGTCTATTGTCACAACATTCTCCAATGCTGCTTTCCGTACTGTGTGTCCAAAGAACGTTGCCAGTCGCTTTTGTATATTCGTAAGCAGCGCTCATTCCACACTAAAAATAAAAATGCATATTCTTTAAGAGCACTTTTACACCAACCTTTCGATGAAAAATACCCAAAACGACCAGATCATCATTCTGTTAGAAAAAGGTAATCAAAACATAATTAATTTGTCTGTAAAGGAAAGCCGACATTCACTGCTTGTGAGACAACTGAGAGAAGTTAACAGGCGGATAGAGGGACAGACTTTGAGGAAAAATAAGAGAGAGAGAGAGAGAGAGAGAGAGAGAGAGAGAGAGAGAGAGAGAGAGAGAGAGAGAGAGAGAGAGAGAGAGAGAGAGAGAGAGCACGAAGTTCTGTGGATTAATAAGAATACATCGGTCGCAATTTTGCAAGAACCAAGGATAGGATGCAACGTGTATATAAAGGTAATGCGGGGTGTCCACTACAGCTGGATCGGGCTGATCGTCCGATTCGATCGCCTGAAACTGGGGGTGCCCACTACGGCTGGACCAGGCCGATTGCCCGACTCGATCGCCTGAAAACAAACACGTTTGTTTTTGAGGCGATTGAGTCGGGCGATCGGCCCGATCGGCCGATCCCATCCATAGTGGGCACCCAGGCTGAAATCCATTGCTTATAGTGGGAAATACAAGTAGAAGATAGAACAAACCGATTTGTAAAAAACAATACCGTGGAACGAATGGGACAGACATGTTATATAGGTTGACTGTAAATTAATCTTCAAACTAAACCCATCCCCTCTGATAGTGATAGTAATAGTGTACATTATCGTGATATTAGCTGAGCCAAGGAAGAGCGCGTCAAGACCTAAGTATGTACTTTTATCTGAGCCACACACTTCCGACTTTGTACTAGGTGTAGGCTATAACTATAGTAAGTGTAGAGCGCACCTTGGTAATATTATCTGAACACTAATGTCACTTGGTCTTGGCGATGTTTGATCCGATTTGCGCCAGGGTCTCCTGGGCTTAGCGATTAGTTTGGTGTTTATTGTGCAAGTAAATTAATCTGTTCTTGAGACCCTTAGGTTTCAAAACTTACCCATGTAGTTGAAACAGCACTTCTGAAAATGTACTTTAGGGACAGAGAACGGACCGTATCTATCTGTGATTTCAAACGTTTATTTTGTTCTTTAAACAGATGCTTCACCGCTGACATTTTTTCAATTCGTAATCATCTGCATCGCAACAGACGTCGCCCTTCAGCATCTGAACAAGTCTGGAACTCATAGAGTTTGGTTGTTGCCGTTTTTCGTAGAATCAGATATAGAATCAGAGTACGGCAAGCCAAAATGAAAGCCGACCTGGCAGTATTAATTAGATAATACAAAGACAGCGAAAGCGAATAAGAGGTTATGTAATTGAGAGGTCTCTTGGTTCTTTTGAGCTTGATGAATAAACAGAGTTTACGGTGAGTTAATAATATAAACGCAAGGTTATTTCGTTGTTTTAATTCGTCCGTCCGGTGTGCCCATCTCCGTTTATATTTCTTCAGTGTTTCTATTGTAAATCAGACTGTAATTGTTCTCATATGCGGCCAACTATTTCCCAGCTGTTTTCTCTGGGGGTGTGTGAGCGTGTGTGTGTGTGAGTGTATGTGAGTGTGTGTGTGTGTGTGTGTGTGTGTGTGTGTGTGTGTGTGTGTGTGTGTTCTCTGTCAGTGTAAATCCTTGTATGGATACCATCTCCAGTGTATTGTTTTGCGACGGAAATTTATTGTGAGAAAATGTTTTGCATACTGAAAATTCTAAAGTCCAAAGGAAATATGCAGTACTAAAATTTTGCAGAGGGGATTGTGTGTTCGTTTAAAACATAACTATTTTCTTCTTCAAATTTAAAAAGAAGAGCTGCACGAGAATTTGCACAACCATGACGCCCAGTAACAGAAGATAATCGAGAAGCGTTCCTTCCCAGCAAGCTTCCACTTCCTTTCGGAAAGGCGGGAGTAAAATGGTAGAAGTCACATCATCCTTGATTCTGTTAAAATCGTCTTTCAGCTTCATCACCGTTTCGGCCATTTGGTATTGGGAATTGTACATACCTATTATTACCTCTTTCATTTCCATTTCGACATCAAAGCTTGTTTTTTCATTTGAGCTTGGGCTGTCACCCTTGATATCTCTCCTCGCCATATTGTAATCAAAATACAAATCCTCATACAAATGTTGGGTTGGACCAACAGTCGGCCAACTTGTCTCATGGATATGTGCGTAACTGCGGGCTGCGTTGCTCCGAGACAGTATCGGGTGACTCACGGAGACTGAACTGTACACGTGTGTCGGCTCTACGTCTGCACTGTCTCCCAGCCTCGCCACAGAAAGACGGTCATTGCGCATTGTTCCCTGAAAGTCGTCCCTGTGCGCTTTGCTTCTTGGTGAAAGTACAATGGTGTCTCGTAGGGCATCATTTCCTCCTCTGCTGATACCGTACCTTGATGACTGATGATTGTTGATCGTGCTCCTGCCACGGACACTCCGAGCATTTGATTTCTGCTTCTTCGGGTATACAACAACATTAGATGCACTCCTGCTCCAAGTAAGGGGAACATTTCTTCCTGAGATTAATGCTTGCGGCTGCTCCTTTCGATGTGTCAAACCCCTTGTTGTCCTGGTCTCTGCAGCCTGGTTTGTAAACAAATGACAGTCAAGGCGCTTGGCGTTCTCACGGTCTGTATCGGAGAGCTCCGCCAGATCAGAGCCACCAAACCGTTCATCAGCGTCACTCGCTGGGTCACTCCTCATTTCATCTCGACTGTCGCTGGAATCAGTGTCGTCGCTATAAACAGATCTATCTCTGCTCTTGTCTGGTAACTCCTCCTCCGTTTTTTCGTAGATGTAGCTCTTACTTTTCTTATCACTAACTACACCGAGTCCTTTTTCACGAAAGAGTTTTTTCTTTGTGTTCAGCCGCAGCTTGTTGGATTCAACAGATGATAACCGGCTAAAGATAATAGAATCATTCTGGTGGGGTCGTTTCGGTACTTTACTGTCCTTATTTCGGACTGGACTCGGTTTTTTATTGGTTTTGCTGCCGTGTGGAAGATGCGTCTGAACACGCCCAGGGCTACCTGGTGATGAGAGTGCATCATCACGTGACTTTCTGGTTTTGCCACTGTGAGCGGGAATTTTATCCTTACCCCATAGTAGCTGAGGCTTCTTGCCTTTCCCTTGTGGACGTTTAGGTGGACTAGGCGTTGAACTATTTTCTGAGTTTCCTGTCTTTAAAGGTGACATGATGTGGCGATTATCACTTTGACTTCTCTTTTTAGCAGCTTTGCCTGTCACGGTTTGGCGCTGCTTACTTTGGGGATCACTCGAGTGTTTGTGATTATTATGTAAAGAAAATGGGCTGCCTGGTTTCAAATTGAGATTTCGCGGCAGAGATCTTGTTTTACGCTTGTCGCTCTTTATGTCAGATTCTTTTACAACTGTTGACAGCCTTTTATTTTTTTCTGCGTCCTGTACTCGATTCCTGCCTCCGATAAGCTTGTCGACAGGCCTGTCTCGATCTTCTTTTCCGTCTTTGGTCTTGTCAGGAACTTTTTGCCCACCCATTTGACTCTGAATCGTCTTTACGTCGCCATTTCTCGTCTTGGGATTCGCGAATGGTTTGGATGACCGCCCAGTATCCTCTTTCTTGGTGGTCTCTTGTGCGTTGCAGTCTTCCTCAACACTATTCGTTATCTCAACATCCTTGCTCTTCTCAGCATTTCCATCAATAGCACCAGACATTTGGCTTTTGGGCTCCGTTGCTTCCTTCTTGCACCGACGCAAAAATCTTCCCAGCCTCTTCTTAGCCGATCTCTCCCCCTGGGAGATGGAAGGTGTGGCAGGTTTCAAAAGCGATAGCGCTGCCGCCAGAGTGGCCGCTGGCACATTTTCCTCGTGACGCTCAGCACCAACGCCTTTTGTCTCATTTCCCAAGGTTGTAAAAGCACCCTTACATCTGGTGGGGACACTGCTGCTAGAAACATGTGCTCTGGGAGATATTTCATTTACTTTTCCGGCACGAGGCACGTTGTGCTGTTTTCTTGTACCAATATAGTTTTTGGTGCCTCTCAGCTCTTCATTTTTGCGGGGGCTTGAAGCGAAAACTCCGTTTCTTTCTGGGGTGCTTGGCGTCTTGGCTCCAAGAGACCCGAAACAAGAAACTGGGCTTGCTGGGCCGGGAAAATAACCTCCTCTTCTTGAAACGGGGACGTTGCGTGGTGCTGTCTGGGAGGGTAGTCTCGTGGACGAGAGCGTTGTGCTTTTTTGGAAACGCTTTGGTGGAGACTTGGAGGCGCACTGACTCCTGTGCTGCTTGGAGAAAGATAGTATCTGCTTCGTGGGACTCACTTTGCCTCTTGGACCGCTCACAGCTGTAGTTCCGGTTGCGGCGCTCCCTTCTTTTTGGGCTGATCTGTGGAGACATTATAAGGAAACAGGCTGTCTCCGATGCTACAAAGTTGTCTCTATAAATCACCAGATCCCCCCCCCCCCCCCCCCCCATTTTCTTCCCGCTCCCTCCCCCCATTTCTTTTCCAATGAAAAAAGCAATAAAATCCCATAACCCCCTCCCCCCCCTTTCCCTTCGAAGCAGGTCGCTAAATGGCAGGTCGTGAATTTTGTTCACCATGTGGAAATCAGGGGGCTCAGATCCGACGGAGGTTCCTATCGCTTGTCGTGTCCTTATAGTAACATTTCCTTTTAGTTGGATGTCCGGACCAAGGATCAATAATCCGATTAAATTAGATTACAGTAGAGCTCTAACTCCAACAATATCAACAACAAGAACAAAAAACTCCCGTACGTTCGTTTAGGGTGGACAAATAGACGCGATTGAAAACTTTCTATAAGGGTCACACTAGTGAACAGTTCTTCTCAGATATATGGGTGTAATATTTACACTGAGGTTTGTGGCTTCTTTCCTTCCCTCTTTACTGTTTTTTCTTTTCCCTTTCACTCTTCACTTTGCGCCAAGTGCTCCGCTCTTAAATTGTCCTATTGAGGGTCTGTTAAGGCAATAAATCTGATCTAAAACGTAAAGTTGTCACCCTGGAAGCGAGACAATGTTTCCACCTAAATAGTGATTTGGAAAATTCACTTTAGTTTATTGCTTGCATTCTCAAATTTGTAAGCGAAAATCAGAACTACAAGCAATTTCCCCTTAATTATTGTCGTGCTGCCTGTACATGAGTGAGTAAGATAACATTTGTATTTTCATAAGAGCGGTGTCTTCAAACCAATCTGAAGAACATTGAACATTGTAATTCAAGAGGTATTGATAGGCATTATAAGAAAACAAGCATTGCAGGTAATCAGATAAGCAGAAGTGGCTGACCAAGAGAAATTTGGGTCCAGTTTGAATAAAGAGAAGCACGCTCACACTGGACTCCCAGAAAAAAGTAAGTCTTCTGAATTTCTAGCTTTGATCAATCTCCACATTTTCAAAACACAAGGCGAAATTTGTTTAAATATTAGTGTCCAATGCTACCCCCCCCCCCCCCCTCCTTTCAACGCTGCTAAGACTAAGCAACAATATGCTCTTACGGCAGATTAGAATGTAAAAGACTCAATTTACATCCTCCTACCACCCCCTCTTTATAAAAATAAAACTGAAGATGGTTTCGGTGGTCACAGAAATTAGAGCAGGCGAAGGCTATTGGTGGAGACCGTTGCAAATGTTTAAAGAATTCTAACGAACAGCTAACACACACGGCAGATACCATTAGGCCTACATACTTATCCCAGTTAGTAGAGAGTTTTGCAGGTGTGCCTTCTTTCTTCTGTTCGTCTCCCGTCCCCAGTTTTCCGCTGATGCTGTGATGTCCCAAGCTGCTTAAATTCCCACGTCTGTCATGAGGGATATATGTATTTCCTTCTTTACCCAGAAGTTGAGCTGAACACTCCTGTAAAACATGTACGCGTAACTAGTGAAAGAGTAAAATGAACGAAGAGATTTTCAAAGCGACAAAAACTGCAAGCAAAAGACATTGTTGCGATTCTTGGGTAAGGGAAGTCCATTTTGTCGAGTATTTCAATCTCTCTACATGAATACATGTACTGTTTTCCACTCAACCCAGACTGGCCTTGACAGGCAGGGTTAAAGTTGTTCGGTGGGTGGTGCGGTTTGCTCCTTCTTTCCTATCAAACATCTCTCGTCCTGATCTCTCCTTCTTCTTTTTTATGTTTATTACTCTCTTGTAACACCTCAAATCTTCAGGCGCTCATAATATGACCTTATTATGCAGTTGCAAGCGCCGTAAAACCTCTACTAAAACTAAAATTTGTTCGTCTCCACATGGTCTGAATCGTACCGATTTAAACGCAAACGGCAAAGTATTACAATTAACAACGACTGCTCTGATAAAAACAAATAATACTTTCTCCAGGCTTCTGTTTTCTTTTTTTTTTCTTACTTCTTCTACCCTCTATCGTGAAGGTTAAGTGTTGTGTCTTATTTGTGTCAAAGGTAGGGAGAGTAGGTGTGAAAAGAAAGAAATATTTTCGAAAGAAAGAAAGAAAGAAAGAAAGAAAGAATCATATTGCTTCATTCTCGGTCAGTTCGTAAACTAGCCTGCTGACGTATGGCCTAACGAAAGGCACAATCGAGGACAGTTTGCGCTCCCCAGTGCCCACAGCCTGCAGTATAAAGCTATAGAATGTGTTGTAGGCACTTGTGTTTCACCAATCCTTACTCCAAGTACCTACTCCCAGTCCGTGCCCTCCCCTGTTCCTCCACCCCCAATCCCTTGGTTGTTTGTCTTTGTTTGAGTAAGGAGAAGCACATAGACAAAAAAGCGTCATGGAGTGCAAGTTAGACAGAAAGAACAGAAGGAAAGTAAAGAAGTAGGACCTATCAGTGGCGC